GGAGGGAGGGAAGGAGAGGGAGGAGGAAGAGAGAGGATTCTTTTTTTAGAGGAGCCGCGCTCCGTCTCGTGTGCCGAGTCCTTACCTCTCTCGTGCCTCCTGAATGCCCCACGCTCTTCGCTCCTCGCAGAACACAAGTATCTCCCGGGATTCACTCGATAATTCTCTCCGCCGTTCTCTCGTTCCCGCTCTGTCCGTCTCTGTCGCACGCGCAAGTCGGCTCGGCGGCTCTCAAGCGCGCATACACGTACACACGCAACGCAGAGGCAAGCCTGTATATTCTCGCTTTCCTCCTCTCGCGTCCCTCGTTGTTCCCTGTCTCACGCGCGCCACTCGTCTGTCTCTTCCTCGTCGCCACGACTGACGAGACCTCGGCGATTATTACAGCTTGCCTGGCCCACCCGCGAGTTCTTTCTTTTTTTTTTCTACTCGACTTCTCCGTCTCCACACACTGTCACGAGTCCATTGGGGAGAGTCCGAGGGGGTTAACGATGACGAAACTGCTGTGCGTTATCTGTTCTCACTGTTGAACGGTTCCTGCCGCTAGCCAACCAGCTAGACTGACTGATTCCGCATTGGCTGACGAAAGGTCGGAATTCGCGTCGCACGTTATGACGAATGCGGCTTATGTACCGGGTTCTCTTCGGTTCTCTTGACTGCGTCTCGAGAGTCTCGAAAGATTCTCGCACACACGGCACGCCTGATATATCGGCACTGTGCGTACCGATCGATCCGCAGAGGCACACACGACTCGTTCCGCGATTCACGAGGGCAACGGGAGCCTTGAAGAAGGCGACAACGACGCTGATTACGCGGACCGCGGACGGACGCGCCTCTCTCTCTCTCTTTTTCTCTCTTTCTCTCCTGCCGCCGCCTGCCCTTCCTGTACGCCTCCCCGCCTCCTAGATTTTCACACTCACGCGAGAAGACAACGCGACAGCACTGCGCGATTCTACCGTTATCTAGGGCGATGCCTCTCCGCCGTTTGCCGCCGCACCGCCACCGTTGCCCTCTATCCGTGAACACGCATCGCTGCCATTGCCGTCGGCATTCGGCGCAGCCGACCGGGCGAATCGGCCGCTATTCTGTCTTACCGACAGATTCTACGAAGAAATCACTAGACGTACAGAAGGTGCGATTACATGTAGCGCGGTATGCAGTGTAGAAACTAATAGCGTTTTCGGCCCGATCGGGTTTGCACCAACCTGGGTTGGATTAATCTTCCCTATTGGTTGACGTCACCCTCTCTACCAATAGGAGAACACAAAAGGCCATTAATCCAACCCAGATTAGTGCAAACCTGGCAGGGCCGAAAACGCTATAACTAGGTAACCATAGGCCTGGGTATCAATGACTACATTTACACGGCACCTTTAATCGAGTTTAATAACATCCGTAGTTATGAAACTGGCCAATCACGATCATTCCATTCTCCCGAGGAATAGCTATGATTGTCCAATTTCATAACTACGGATGTTATTAAACCCGATTAAGCGTGCCGTGTAGCAGAGGTCAATCATGAAACTTTATCTTTAGGATGGAAAGCGAAAGGTGAAAATTTTAACCATTGAAGTTAATGGAGAAATTATTCACTTTTCACTTTTCATCTTAGGAAGAAAGTTTCATGATTCGTACCCTGTTCTTTTGGGAGGATCCCGTTTGCCTACAATCCCGATTGCACACACCACTCATATCAGCTGGTGCCTAGTAATTTTTTACTGCTTTACCAATGAGAATATTTTATCTTTAAATTGGCCAATTAGCGACGCATGTGTGCAACATGCAATGTGTGCAATCGGAGCCTTTCCGTTCTTTTTGGCTGAACTTTTGCATCAGTTCATCTTTCTTCCCTCCTGGAGAGAAAAGGAAGAGAGATGAACTGGTGCAAAAGTTCAGTCAAAAAGAACAAACCTTGTAGGAACCGCACAAACCGTGCCACTTGCTTCTTTTCTCCTATATTAAGGTAAATTTTCACGAGCTGCTCGAACCGGCTGTTTCAGTAACAAGAAGGATTACCCCGGATCTATACAATAGATTTTTAATCTTTAAACCATAAGGAATGGACGAATCACAATCAATTATTCTCCTCGCATTCGACTGTAGTTGGTCAATTTCTTACGGCTTAAGGCTTAAAACACCTATTGTAGATACGGACTTACGTGTTCAAAATTGACGAATATCAAGCGGTCATTTTGATCGCGTAATCCTTTTTGTCGCTGAAACGGGTGGCACCCAATTGGACACCACTCAATTGGACATGAGCCACTCACAGCGCTTGAGATTACAAAGCTCCTAAGCACCGGTCGCTGTGATTGGTGATGTCCAATCGAGACGTGGTCAATCGGGATCTCCCCGCTGAAACAGCCGGTTAGTCCGGATCTACAATAGGGTTTTAAGCCTTAAGCCATAAGAAATGGGCGTATCACAGTCGCTTATTCTTCTCGGATTCGACTGTAATTGGTCAATTTCTTACGACTTAAGGCTTCAAACACCTATTGTAAATCCGGAGTTAGAGTAGCTCGTGAAAATTTACCTTTAAGGTGATGTCCCATGCAGTGGATCGTGCGTAAGTGGATTCACGTATCGCCGATCATAGAATCATTCTCTTAGATTTGTTTGCAAATTTCGCAAGCCTACAGGGGCTCTATTCTTGAAAAGAAACGTATACGAAAGTCTAGGATAACGCTACAGTATACGTTACGTATATTATAGTATTTCCCTAAACTTTCGTATACGTTGCTTTTCAAGAATAGAACCCCCCCCAGGGGGTCGATTCTGTATCGTTAATCAAAGTGAAAATTACAAGTGAGCAAATTTACTAGGTGTTGACCAATAAAATTATCAGTATTCTAGCAAATTCGCTCACTTTTGTAATTTTCACCTTGTTTCAAGATACAGAATCGATCCCCAGAGGCTCTATTCTTGAAAAGAAACGTATACGAAAGTCTAGGGAAATACTATAGTATACGTAACATGTACTGTAGCATTTCCCTAGACTTTCGTATACGACATACGTTTCTTTTCGAAAATAGAGCCCCATGTGCTCCCCGGATGTCACATCATCCTTGTTGTTTACCGAACATTAAACAAGGATGACATAATTGACTGCCAGCACTGAAAATGCTACAGTTTACGTTGCGTGTACTATAGATTTTCAGTACTGGCAGTTAGATTTGGAACACAGCCAGAGGAATTCAACATACGGGACGAGAATGCATTCTCGTATGTTAGATCCCTGTTCCTATTGCTATTGCTTGAACTGATTTGAACGCAATACGCAATCTAATGTTTTTCTGGAGATCATGTTTCACGCATGACCATGCATGAGTTCGCCTTTTGACATCACGCATCTCGTACTCCACCACGATAAACGTGTAATACCGAAAAATGGAGACCGACAGAAATTGGCCTCACCGCAAATTGAAATGTGCGAGTCAGGCGGAAATATTACGATCACATCAACGGGACGATGATTTTATTAAATTCTTGCGGGAGAAGCTGTCCGATATATCACAGAATTTCGGAGTGCACAGGACATTGCTTCAATACATTCGGTCTGACATTCCATTCAAGTTATTATACTTTATTTTCACATCGGGTATGGGCAATCAAACGTTGGGTGAGGAATATACCGGCATAGTACAGGCTAATTTAGAGCAACGCAGAGTTCCAACGTTAACTGTACGTTCAGTTTGAGATTTATTTATAGGCAAATTCCTCTGATAACTAATTAATTAAATTCTGTTTTTCCTTAGGTGAGAATATTAGCTGCGATTTTAGAGTGTTGTGGTGAGAGGACATTGCTCAAATTGCTACAACAGTTACAAACATACGTGAATCATCCACGTAGCGAGTTGACTCCAGCAGCAATAACATTTTTAAACATTTTACTATCCAAGTTACGCACATTGATACCTATAATTATATTGTTCCACAAAGGGATGTTTTATATTTATGGTAGATACTACAGCCTGGGCAGGAGAATTGCTGGATTAGATTATACAAAGGTAAATTTTAAGCTCTAAAAATTCATAATATTATATTTAATTTTGTTATATTTACGTAATAATTTGAAGGTATATGGACCTCGACCGAAGGATACTGTTAGCTGGGGATTAAGATTATTAGGAGTTGCTACTATAATTCAATGTCTATTGAAAATTTGGCAGAGTGGTACAGCACAAGATACTACTGATGTAAATATATCTAATGCTAAGGGCATTAGTCACAATTGTCAATTGTGTCTGGAAGCAACAGCAACAACTGCGACACTATGTGGTCATCTATTCTGCTGGAGCTGTCTTAGCGAATGGTTACGTGTTAAACCACAATGTCCATACTGTAGAGAATATGTACCACCGTCGAGAATTGTTCACTTAATGAATTTATAATTTTCTGTGATAATAGATTATATATATATATACCTTGAATACAAATTATACATAATATAAAGGTCTTTTATATATTATACATTTACAAGAAATTAATATATTTTTAAAACGAATATATCATCTTTAAAATAAAAAGAATTTCAGTTTACCCGTTCTTCTTGAAAAATTATATCTCATAATGTAGAATTCCTAAAACTTTTTATCAAAAGATCTAAGTTATTTTTATCTGTAAGTTTATAAGATATTGACAATTGATTAGTAAGAATTAGTACTTATATATAGGAATTACATATGGGAAGATGAAAGTGATAAAATAATATATCTGCTTTTATAGATATATACAAAAATATCAAGTTTTATTCAATTATTTCTGATTATCATATTCAATCATACTACATCTTGTATAACAGTCCAATTTTGAGAAAAACAGTTATATACAATCTCTCCTCATTTTCATTTATAAACTCATTTTATAAAATTGTTAATTGGACAAAAGTATTATTGGCTGCAATCAGTCTCACTACAAATGCTTTGAAGCGTTTGACCAATTAGAAAAATTTTCTAAATTCATAAAAAAAAAACCGTTTTAAAGCATTTGTAGCATCGCATTGATCATAGCCATTAACAATATAATCGATTTCTACTATTCTAAGAGTCTTTGTTTTATATTTTCTCTTATGCGCCAAATTTTTTTTAAGTTATGATTTTCTTGCTCTCCTGTTACTCACATTTGATCATATTAGAGTTAGAGTAAAATGACAAGTTAAAGAAACAAGGGATGCTTTCCAATTGCTTAACACATCTTAACATAAACGTACATAGGAATACACAAAGTGTAACATTATGCATGATTCAATTGGAACAGAATGTGTACGCTGTACACGGTTGAGATCCGTTTCGGATGGAGCTAGATTAAATGTAGCTTTTTCCGCCTGTATTAAACAAAAAAAGGTAAAAGTGCCGGTCACTCAACATCTTCCAACCTCATTTATCTAGTGACTATTCTAGTGACAATTACATGTTACTAACTGCAGTCGCTGTAGTTAGTAACATGTAATTGTCACTAGAAAACACAAGCTTAGGCCGCGGTCCGATACACGCTCACAACGCTTAAAAATCATTTCATCCTTGTTGTTTGTCAAATGTTAAACGAAGACAAACAATGCTCATGAGCGTTGTCAGCATGATTCGGACCACGGCCTTACACAGCCCTCAACTGAGTACGGATGTGTAATGTTGTGTCGACGATAACGGACAATTGGAACGCAACTTGTGTCGCCGTGTGCACGAAAGTGTCTAGGGATATTGCAATTGGAAAGCACCCAAGATATACAAGTTTTTTTTCTTGTACATGCGATTAGAGAAAATGGGACCTGACTAATAATAAACAATATAAAAAATATAAGAAATTAAAGAAGTGATTAAAGAAAAAAAGAATTAATGAATAATAATAAACGAGGACTAAGAAACAGAAGAAATATGCGTTTAGAGAAAATGAGAACTAATGAAGATTAAAGAATAAAAGAAATGAATCAAGAATAGAAGAATGATCAGGTGATCTTAGAATAGAAAAAATCGACTGTAAATTCATGCTCTTGGAAAGTCACTCAATAACATTTGCCACTAG